CTTTGTTCAGACTCACAATTGACATTCTAGGTTTGAACCTAGTGCATCAACTACTCTATTCATGCGAGAGATAAGGAAGGAGGAAGAAGAGGAAGAAGAAAGAGGGAGGAAGAGAGAGAGAGAGAGAGAGAGGCAAGGATGGAATTGACATTTTGTCTGCTACCTTCAAATGCACTCGGAGGTAGCTTGGGCCTTAAATGATTCAGAGGTACTTTCATTTTTCATAGGTGCAATTCAGAGGTGCAATGAACAACCTCTGACCTCCAAAAAAGCAATATTTTCGGTATTTATAGGTCAATTCAGTGCTACCAAATGCCACCTAGGTTAAGTAATCAAGACAAGCTTCATGCAAAAGCAATCCAAGTTTGACCTAAGGGAAAAGGAGGCTCTATTCTTCTTCTCCCACCCTAATTTTTGTAGAAAAGCTTCAGCCTTTTTGAAAACATATCAGAGGTACCCCATTGCTGAATTCAGTCTACTCTTTGGAGTGCAACTATTAGCATCGATTGATCTCTCAGACTTCAGCAAGCCCGATCTCTAAGTTTGGGTTGCACCATCTTCGGCTTTGGGGATTTTTGGACATGATTCTTTGAGCTGGTCTATTGTAGACATCCCATTTGCTCCCTTCAATCTTTCTACATCACTTTGAGTTTCAAACATGCTCCAACTCACCTCTCAACCGATTATGGGCATTTTTTGAAATTTTACAAAAGTTTAGACTTCTAGGATCCAATACCATAGGTACGTAGAGCCCAAAATTCCATATCTAATGACACCAAGATTACCCAAATCTAACAATGTTTACCCCTTTATCTTAAAACCCAAAGTCGGAATCGATTCTAATCATCCGATTGAAATCATTTCATTCTTAAACCTTATCTCACACCAAGGCAAAAATCCAACATCATAAGTACATAAATCCTGACATTCCAAATCTGAAGATCACTCAATCTAACACCATGCATTTACCCCTTCATCTTAAGACCCAAAGCCAGAACTGATTCTGATCATCTAATTTCGGCCATTTTGATCTTGAACCTTATCTCATATTAAGTGAGAAATAGGGACTTCACTGCCCGAATGAACTAACTCTTTCTTGAAATAGGAACTTTTTCAAATAGCGGTGTGTCTAGCTCTTGAAATAGGGGCTTTAGGGAAAGGGTTTAGGGTTTACGTAAAGGAAAAATGTTTGGTTTCTAAATAGATAAGTCTCTTGCCATTATGATTTGGGTTTTTTAGTTTGAAACCATTATCATTGGGAGGCCTAGGTAGGGGAAGGGGAGGAAAGAGAGTGAATGAGAAAACTGGAAAGGGGTAAGGGATAATGGAGAGAGCGTTCAACAAAAATTGAGAATAGGGGAAATGGGAGAAGGAGAGGGCTGCTGACATGGTCTTTAACGCTATATCTTTGTCTCAATTTCATTTAACAAAGTCATTGCATCGCACTGGTCCAAACTAGTACTATGTATATAAATCAAGGTTATCCACATAAGCACTACTTTCCTCTTTTCTTAACTTTCTCTTCTTGCTCCCTTGCAACCCACATTTGCTACCACAGTATGGTAGCGCTGAAACAATTAAATTAAAGCCTTTGATTTGTTGCCATGGCCCCACCTTGAATTAGATGAAGTGACTTCTTTGTGAAATCCCTCCCTTATCCTTTACCAACCCTCCCATTAAGCCAAGCCACTAGGGCTTTCTCCTGTCATATTACACCAAGTTATCCTTCCTCTCCAAGAGTTCAAATGGTAATATAACTCTTCTTAAAGAATACCCAAAAAAAACTCGTGATTCTAAAGGAAACTTGCCGAAGTAAGTAGAATCCTCCTTCCCTTCCCTACATTCCTTGATTCCTTCCCCTTCCCTTCTTCCCTAGCTACACTCTGTAACTACACCCAAAGTAGATTCCTCTCCTGTTTTGGATGATAATCTCTGCAACTAGACTTGTTAAAGTAGATTCTTCCTTTGTTTTGGACGAATTCTTCCTTCCAATTGAAAGTGAGGGAGATCGAAACAATCTAGATAGGTAAGACATCATTCTTACCTAATTTTTCAAATGGTTCACAGTTCTTCCTACCCCTATTTTGATTTGCTTTCCACTAATGTAAAGGTTAGATCGCAGTTCTTCGCATCTAGATATGCTTTCCATTTGAGTTTTCTTTTTTTCTTTTTTTTTTGTCTTAAATTCATTGTTTAGAAGAAAAAGTAGTCTTGGTAACTTCCAATAGGCCGAACGGAAAAAACTAGATAGCAACCAGATCCATCCGAACGACCTTGAGTTGTTACTGTCGTCCCTCGATCAAGCAACAACTGTAACAGTTATTCAGGTCAAGGAGAGTAGAGGTGTCAAATGGACTAGATTTGGTTCAACCCAATCTAGTCCAATGTGAGTTCACTTACAAATGGACTGGACTCAATCCGGTCTAAATCCAATACAAACCAAATCCAGTCCAATCCATTAAAATGTAAACGGACTGGATTGGATCCAATCCAAACCGAATGAAATATCAAAATTTATATAAAAAAATAAAACATATAAAAATTACAAAAGTATATTAAAACGAAGAAAATCTGAAAATTATAAAAATATACCATTTGTGGTATTGTAAAAGGGATTTTGTAAAAGAGTTTTTATGAAAGTATTTTCATAAAAGTGCTTTTGTAAAATAACTTTTATAAAAGTACTTTAGCAGAAGTGCTTTTATAAAAGTACTTTCGTAGAAGCAATGTTTTAAAAACTGACCTAGAGGCTGAACCGTTTTTGCCTCTTGATCGTGGGTCACCAGTTCGATCGGCCAAATCGAACGTTTCGGACTGTGCCACGCCCATATATATATATATATATAGATATATGTATGTATGTATGTATGTATGTTTGTATGTATGTATGTGTGTATGTATGTATGTATGTGTGTATAGACATATATTTTAGCAATAAATAATACATAGATATGTTTTAGATATGTTATATGTATTATTTATATTTAATTTGTCTTTTAAGTTCAGTTTTTTATTTTTTATTTATAAAAAATATTAAAAATTGCAATTTGATGCCAAAAAATGGATTTTTTCGCGAAAATAGTAGGACAAGGTGCCTATGGCCCCCTAGGATGCATAGATCTCGAAAAGTTACCCAAAATAAAAAAAAGGATATCACCCCTAACAATCTACCGAAACTCAATTTTCCATGATTTGTGTAGTTTTTGTCAATTTGGGTAATTACTTTTGGTTTAATTAATTAATACTTTGTGAAACTATTTTTCATCAATTAATTATTTTGGTCAAATTTTCATGTCTTTCGTAATTTTTAGCAAATTTGTACAATTATATTTGGTTAATGTCTATAACTAATTTTGAAGAAAATAATTTCACTTAATTTTGCTGTAATTAAAACAAATAATTTCATTTACCGATAATTTTAGACAATTAATAATTATTAATTAAAATAACCAATAAATTCCCAAAAATTATAATTAATTACATTATTTAATATTTGGTTATTTAATTAATAGTTGATAATTATTTATTCTTGAAAATCTTCAAACAATATATTCTGTCACTTTGGAAAATTTTCATCATAAGTTATTGGAAAATATTTTTACTAATAATTAATCATCGAATAGCTAATTAATAATTATTATTGTAATTTATGATTACCAAAATAATTATTTACTAGAATATAATAATTCTTGAAAATGATTATTGAAAATAATTGTTACAAATAATTATACAACAATAACCATAAAAGTTATTGAAAATAATTTAAAATTATCAATATTAATTGAAAAGTTATTAACTATCAAAAATTAGTTTATAGTTGATAACCTAATTATTCAATTCTGGAAATTAATTATTTACTGATAAAAAAATATTAATATTTTCTGTTATTTACAATAATTACTAATATTCTTAATATTTATCGAAATTAAGTTAAAATTATTAATATTTATTGTAAAATATCAGAAAATTATCTAATGATAATTTGTATTTGTTTTTAATGGTAAATTATTAGTATTATTGAAAGTTACCAAAAATTATCAACAAATTAATGATAATTCCAGGAAAATTAATAATTATTAGTTATTAAAATAACTGACAATTTCTTCAGAATTATAATTAATTACGTTAATTAATTTCATGAAAATTATTATACTTTACTGAAATTTACAATATTTATTGAATAATTATTAACTACCAATAATTAATTTATAGTTATAACCAAATTATTTAATTTTATGGATATTAATGATTTATTGCTACTAATTATCAATAATTCTTGAAAATTATCATTACCAATTAAATACTGAACAGTAACCATCAACAATAATTGAAAATAATTCAAAATTAACAATGCTTACTGAATTATTAACTATCAAAAATTAATTTATAATTGATAACCAAATTATTTAATTTGATGGGAATTAATTATTATTATTTTTTGTTTATTTTCAATAATTATTATTACTCCTAATAATTATTGAAAATTATTAAAAATTATCAATATTTATTGAAAATTACCAGAAAATTATCAATAAATTAATGGTAATTGGCATTTGTTTTAAGAATAAATACAAAATTTCCCAATCCCATTTATCCAAATAAATAGCTTCCCAAAAAAACGTAAAAGGCCTAAAAAGAATATTAGTTAAAATTACTCTTTTACCCCACATCTGTGGCAACTTGTCGTGTATAAAAAGCACTTGAACAGAACATCTGAAATATCGATGATGTATAAGACATGTTTCAACGTGACCAACAATGTATTCTGGTCCGCAGATCCAAACTTCTTAAAACTTCAAATAACTGACAACCATTCAGCCAATCTGGGCTCAACCAATTTTCTCTTTCCACATAACATATATAGATTATAGGCTGTCCATGATCATGTGGCTCCCACCTCAAAGCCAGAAGCCGCTGCACTAATTCAGTTCAGTCCTCCCAAACGTGCGAGTTGCTTTTGTTGTGCCGCTTTAGAGAAGTCACTGGATAAACTCTAGGGGAAAGCCAATTTTTTCTTGGCTGAAACCGCTTAATAGACTGTCTGGGTTGGATCCCAAATTCCCAAATCCCAACTGATCAGGCAAAACCAAAAGCCACCGCTTGACCTCCCAATGGAGAACTTCAAATCTTATCTCGTTCTCTACACCTTGTCTCAATTCCCTCGCTCGCTATCCATGCTCTGAGTTTAAATGTCTCCCTCGTCTTCGTCTTATTAATTTGTTGGTTAATTCGTGCCATGGCTTCCTTTCTTCTTTAGCCCTGTAAGACACAGAAGAGCAGCTCTTCACCTCTCTCTGTCTCTTTCATGGTTCATGCGAGGGAATCAGTTGCCACCCTCTTTACAGGATTCTCCTCTTTACTCTCAACTTGGTAAAAGACTGGAACAGAGAGGTTTCGGCCTATCCTCGATCTTTAGCTTCAACTGGTAAGAATTAATCCCAAACAAAACCCTATCCCTACTTCAATTTAGATTTTAATTAAAGATTATTTTATCTTGTTATAACAAAAATATTTGCTTGTTTCTTTCTTTATTTTCTTGCTTTGTTGAACATTTTAAAGTTGTCCTGATTTTGCATGTACTTGTCCTGATTTTCACTTTAATCGGGTGTGATGTTCATTCAATACATCAAACGTTAGAATTAAAATTCATCATCAACCACAACCAGCAGCTGATCATCAATCGGGTGTGGTTTCCTTTTTTTTTTTCTTTTCTTTTCTTTTAATAACTAACTTAAGTTCATCAGTTTTATGATGCTTATGTGCATTAGATGGACTCTGGTGAACGATTATCTTTTCAAGGTTGCCTTTTCTTAGTGAGGGAAGTTTTTTGTCCAGACATAACAAACTAAACAAAACTGAGATTTTTAGAAAAATTAAACCACACAAGATGTTACATGCTAACAGTTATGGGCCGAGAGTTAACAGATGGGAGATTTTTGTCTCCTGATGTCACGTGATTTTCCATTTTAAAAAAAAAAATCAGGGGATGTTTCAGTGTTTAGGTGAAATCTAGGGGAGGTTTAAGTCTTTTGCCTATCTAAAATAAGCTCATAATTAACCATCTTGTTTGAGATTCCTGATATATTGGAACAAATTAATACTGCTCATTCCACCAAATAAAAAAGGCTAATACCGCTCTTAGTAAGGTTTACTAATTTGGATAAACTTTTGGCTTTTGTACTTAACACTGTTGAAAACAAAAGCATACCCAGAAGTGTTTTTGAATATTTGGCAAGAGTTGTTTTTAAAAATATAACAGCCAAAACACTTTTTAAGCCACATAAAAACAAAGCTTAAAATTGGGCCGGGCCGGGCTTTGTGCTTTTAGCTTTTGGGCTTTATCCTGAAGCTTATCCAAATACAACCGGTAGTTTATTTTTTGGGTTGATGAACTAATTATTTTATTCCACCAAATGCCCGCCCTTAAATCTGCCAATTAAATTCAAATAATTCAGAATATCTTCCGCATTAAAATCATCAACTAAAGTGGTGCACCTAAGTAGGGGTGCCAATTGGACAGGATTTGGTCCAATCTAATCCAATTCAGTATGAGTTCATTACAGATGGACCAGGTCCAATCCCTTCCAATACTTCAATGGTTGGACCTTGACCTTCCAATTTGTTACTATTGGTTTTAATTTAGATTGGTTCCAACTAGACCTGTTCATGGGCCGGGCCGGGCTTTGACTATTTATTAACAGAAAACTGTTAGGCCTGAGCCCGAGCCTGGCCCTGATAAAAAGCCCGAAGCCCGAGCCCGAGACCGAAGCCCGACCTAATAAAAGAAATTCAAAATTTTTCCTATTCAAATGGACATTTTCTATTTTAATTTAGATGTTTTTTCCCCTATTTAAATGAACAATGAACCTACAAGTGAATCAATGACCTTCTCAAATCAAAAAATTTATTCAAATAGACATCACATAGGGATTTTACTTAGGTTTAACTATAGGTCGGGCCGGGCTATTTTGGCAAAGCCCGAGCCCGGCTCGAATTTTATGCGGGACAAGCTTTTTGGCCCGAGGTTAAGCCCGTGGGTCAAAAAGCCTGTTCAAGCCCGTCCGGGGGTTGGGTCGGGCCGGGCCGGCCCGTCGGGCCACCCGGCCCATGAACAGGTCTAGTTCCAACTAGACCTGGCAATTGGGTTGAGTGGGTTGGGTCAAGGTACTTTGGGTTGATTTCGGGTCGGGTTGAATTTTTGGTTGGGCTATCAAATGCTAGACCCTAACCCTAAATGTTTGGGTTAGGGTTGACCCATGGGTCATTCCAAAAAATAATTAAAATTTAAAAAAATAAAGAAAAATTACATGTAAATTGTCAAAATTAAAAGAATTAACCTTAAAATTCCAAATATAAAATAAAAAACTTGAACATTTAACAATTTAAAGAGTAAACAGTAAAAAGTAAAGACTAAATAGAAGAAATTAAAGAATGGAAACTTCTAACAATGTATAAATAATCCCAATTAGACTTGACAATCGGGTCAGCGTGTTGACCCATGACCCAACCCAACCCAGTTTTTTCAGGTCGGTTTCGCATTCGGGTAGCTAAATATGAGACCCTACCCCTGTTTTTTCGGGTTGGGTTGGGTCGGGTTCATGGGTTGGGTCAACTTTTTGTCAGGTCTAGTTCCAATCCAAACCTGGTCTATTGATTCCTGTATTCTTATATTCTATAAATAGATCAGATATTAGTTTAATCTAATCCAATCCAATATAAATTCATTATGGATGGACTAGGTCCAATCCAATCCAATAAGTACTTTGAACGATTAAGTCTGGAATAGTTCAATTCAATATCTTATTGATCTACTCAATCTATCTAAATTGATTTTGATTTAGACGGATCCAACCCAAAACCGGTCCATTGACATACATGCACATAAGCAAATTTTACTAGAAAAAAACAAAAAAAAAACAGATATTCAATCGATCAAATCAATTAAAGATGCCTGGATCAAATGGTTGTACATGCATTATGGATGGTTAAAAATTAAAAGGCAAAAACATCTTTCAAACTCGAGCCATACTAGTATTAGAAAACACTGCAGAGTTTATTCCATGGGAGAAACCTGAGCCTCTAACTTCGTCCATGCATTAAAAACCTATCGATGCTAAAAGCATTGATCAATTACAGGAAAGGAGGTCGGAACCTTGGTATTGGGTCCTGAGTGTACCTACAGCAGACACCTGCATCTCTATGGCCAAGCAAGCAATACTACATGTGCTAGTTATACCAGCCCCAGTACAGGGCCATGTCACGCCCCTGATGGAGTTGTCTCAGAGCCTGGCTATTTGTGGGATCAAGGTTACATTTGTCACTGAAGAATCAGTGAAACAAAGAATAATGGCTGCATTACCCAATAAGGGTAGCATGCACAGCCTCATTCATCTGGCTTCTATCCCGGATGGGGCGAAATTCGGAGATGACACCAAAGAAGTTGATGCTGCCAGAAAGGTAATGCCAGGTTATTTAGAGAACTTGATTAAGAAAATCAATGAAGAATCAGACAATAACAACAACAACCAGATCAATTGTGTCATCGCATCAGCAGCATTGAAGTGGCCCATGGAAGTTGCCGAGAAGATGGGAATCAAGCGAGCAGCGTTTAGCACAACCTCGGTCGGAGTTCTAGCCTTGTTACTTCACATTCCTAAGCTTATTCAGGCTGGAATCATTAATGAAGCCGGTGAGAATTATCGGGTTTATTTAAAAAATAAAAGGGTAAATTACTGAAACCTCCTTTTAAGTTTATAGTTGTTGTTGAAACCATTCTTGATGTTTGGTAATTGCAAATTTGCAATCATCTCTCCTGAATTTTATAACAAAGTTGCAAGAGGATCCTTTTGTTAGAATACTGGCATGAAAATATCTAAAATACCCATATGTGCAGTTAATTTTGACTAGAATGTTCATTTTCCAAATTTTCTCTTCATATTAACCGGTAGTCCAAATTTTTTCAATCTCTTTTCTAAAATTGATTTATTTTCCTAAAATTGATTTATTTTCCAATTTTGCCCACTCAAATGTCCAAAATTCTCTTTTTTTTGTTGCTTATTATATTTTTTGTAGAAACAGCACCAAACCCAATAGTTATTGTATGGGTATTTTGGACATTTTTATAACTCTTGTTAGAAGATTAGAGGTGTAAAGTGGGTCATGCCGGGCCGACGCGGCATGGTCCGTGGGTGGCCCGTGCAAAGCGCGGCCGTGCTGCCCTCCCCGACGAAAATTTTGGGAGTCGGCCCGGCACGGCCCACGACTTAGGCATGTGTCGTGCCGCAGACCGGGTTGGCCCGTGGGCCGAGCCTTGGACCCGGTCAGGCCGTGCATCGGGACAAAGCTATTTATTTAAAAAAATGACAAAAAACTAAAAATTTTAATTTTATATGAATTTTATGTATACAATTGCTTATATATACAATAATTAAATAAACTAGTATAATAAAATTAAAAAATTACTTATTTTATTAATATATTATATACTATATATTATTATATAATTATAATTTATATAATATTATTAATATATATAAAAAATATATAAATAATATATATGGGCTATGTCGCGGGCCGTATCGGCCCCGAGCCGCGGGCGACATGGCCTGCTCGGTCATGCCGTGCCATGCTGGCCCATGGACCTAAAACCCCAGGCCCAGCACAACCCGCATGATCATGCCAGGCCTCGCACGACCTGCGGACTGTCGTGTCGGGCCGGTCCAAGTTCATACACCTCTATAGAAGATTCTAATAGAGGGGATCTATTCACAATTATGTCAGAAACTTAAGGGGAGATGATTGTAATTTCCAAACTTCAGGGGAGGTTTCAGCAATGATGAGAAATGGGGGAGCTTCTAACAATTTACCCAAAAAGAAATTCTTTTTCTCCACTTGGTTCAGATAATGGTCCACTACTTGATATATAATTGAACTTGTTTGCAGGAATTGCTTTGAAGAATGAGATGATTCAGTTGTCTCCTAATGCGCCAGCCATTAGCACAGCTGATTTGGTGTGGAACTGTACAGACGATCCGGCCATGCGAGATATCCTTTTCAAAGCAGCATTGGATGCGAAAAGTGTAGCCAAACTCTGGGACTGGGTTCTCTGCAACTCATTTTACGAGCTCGAACCATGGTTTTATAACTTGATCCCAAACAGCCTTCCTGTCGGTCCATTGCTTGCAAGCAGTCGACTCGGGGAATCGATCGGAAACCTCTGGCAGGAGGACTCCACCTGTATAAGCTGGCTAGACCAGCAACCAGCCCGCTCCATCATTTATGTTGCCTTTGGAAGCCTCGCCACATTCAGCCAGTGCCAGTTTGATGAACTAGCAGCTGGTCTCCAACTTGCCGCTAGGCCATTCTTATGGGTTATTCGACCAGATTTCATGAAGGAATCTACCACAAACCTAAATGGATTCAGGGATAGAGTAGCTCATTGTGGAAAGATAGTGAGTTGGGCACCTCAACAAAAGGTTCTGGGTCACCCTTCTGTTGCATGTTTCTTAAGCCATTGTGGTTGGAACTCAACAATTGATGGCTTAAGCATGGGGGTTCCCTTTCTATGTTGGCCTCAGTTTGCTGATCAGTTCTTTAACAAACACTTCATTTGTGACGTTTGGAGGGTGGGTTTGTATCTGGAGGGAGACGAAAATGGGATAGTACCAAGAGACGAAATCAAGAGTAAGGTGAAGAAATTGCTTGGTGATGAAAGTATAAAAGCAAAGGCTTTGGAATTGAAAGAAATGGCTTGGAACCAAGGCGGCACTTCTTTCAGGAACCTTGAGGACTTTGTTGAACAGATCAAGTGTTGATGTAAATTTTTTTGAGTACTAGTGGAATGGCCCGTGCGATGCACGGGGTATTTGATATTGGTGGTGATGTTTGACTATGCTTTTACATCTCGGGCATAGATGAAAGTTTATAAACCGTTTAAGTCCTAAGACAATTATATAATACATAAAAAAAAGACTATCCTCACAAAATGCCAAGATCTGAATTTTATAATTACAAAATGTTGGTTGCAAATGCATTAGATTAAAACATTAATGCACCAAATCAATGATAAAAATACATTCAATGACATTATATATAGATATGGTTCATCCCAATGAAACACAAAATTTATGGAGAATTGGAGATGCCACTCTTAACCGCTCTCCTATTTTGTGATAACCTAAAACTTATGAAAATAAGCCTAAAATCATTTTCTTCATGCTTTTTAACCAAAAGGAGATAAAGAAATTAATTGAAAGCAAAATTTATCAACCAACCACTAGAGTAACATGTATGCAAACACCATCTAGGCACGTTGAGCACCTCCACACATTTGTCCAAGAATAAAATAATCAGACGATTCATAATGTGTCACAATGTTGCATACGACTGAGCACATGGGTTGCAGGCCCTACTTAACAACTGCTCACAAGATAACATACAGTCCCAATGGCCAAATGCCCTTATAAGACATCGGCCCAACTGACAAACATGTGTAGGGCCCATGGAATGAAATTTCTATATTTTTGTGTAATTTTTGTTATATTTTTTCATTTTTTATATTTTTCTATAAATTATTGTTTTATTCTACAATTTCTATTCATTTTCTGTAATTTATGGTTTTTTTGTTTGTTGTAATTTCTGTTATTTTTCATCAGTTTTTATGATTTTCTACATTTTTTGTAAATTTTTTATGTATTTCTTGGTTTTTTGTAATTTATATTATTTTCTTCATTTTCTATCTTTATTTGTATATTATGTATTTTTTATAGTTATATTTTTCAAGAATTTATGTATTATGTGAAAAATTAATGGGTTGTGTTATGGTGGATTTGGGTTGAACCCAAAATGGGTCATTAACAAGTTAATGGGTCAGGTGGGTTGGGTTGAAGCTCAACCCAAACCTAAGTACCTAACCCACCCAATGGCTTTTTAGAAAAGACAATGTTTTTTTTTTTTTTTTTTTTTGCCAACAACTATCATGCACCCTCATATAGAATTAGGATATGTTGGAAAAACCAAAAAACTAAGGGGTAGAATTGGTATGAAAAAATCAGGGTCTTTCGACCACACTAGCTGAATCATTCTCATTTTTTATATATGGTAATAGATATAAATTATTATTTTATTCTACAATTTTTGTTCTTTTTTTTGTAATTTATGGGTTTTCTTTGTATTTTGTAATTTATGTTTTTTCTTCAATTTTTATGATTTTCTATATTTTTTGTAAACTTTCTCTATGTTTCTTTGTTTTTTTGTAATTTATATTATTTTCTTCATTTTTTGTGTTTTTCAAAATTATTTTACAGTGACAATATATACAATCAGAAAAAAATAGAAAGTTTAGGGTAAAGTTAGAAAGTAATATAAGCATGTTTTGAGCAAACCAATTGCAACATTCTCATTTTTTAGTATGGTATATAGAAATTTCTATGAATTTCTATATTTTTTTGTAAATTTTTTATGCATTTCTTTATTTTTTTCATAATTATTTTTCAATGACAATATATACAATGGGAAAAGATAGAAAGTTGAGGGTAAAGTTGGAAAGTAAAATCAGAGTGTTTTGACCAAACCAATTGCAACATTCTCATTTTTTAGTACTAAAATTAATATTAAGCCCATAATAGGATTAATATTATCTAACTAAAATAAATATTAATTCAATAAGAGGTGTCTTTTGTGTTCTTTTCAAGGTTTGATGTTTAGATGATTTCACATGCACTATGTTAATCCTAAGTGAGGTTCATGAATTTTTAATTTTTATTCTAAATATCAAAGTGAATTTATATAATAATTGATTGATATATGATTTCAACAAAAACATAAATAATGATAAATTATTGGTTATGGGATCTCCAACCACCATTTAGCAGTTCTTATGTGTCTTGTTTGTAATTGATGAGAATTTATGGACGGTTGCAATGAGTTAAATGAAAATAGTAGATAGCAACAAGGTCACCATCGGAGAGTGTATGGAGCCATTTATGATAAGATCAAATACTTGAACGACCAAAAAAGAATATTGGAAAACAAAAATTGTTGAGGGTAAAGATGGAAAATAAAATCAAAATACAACCATATTAACAGTTTGCATTCTCATTTTTTATTGTTGGACAAAGTTTGATGAACAGCCTCATGAATCATGATAGTTAAATTAAATACTGGAAAAACAAAAATTGTAGAGGGTAAAAAGGGGAAATAAAATCAGTCTTTTTGACTAAAAGTTGTTACCATTTCATTTTTATAAATGGTAGAGATTGGACTTGAATCTCATTATTCACCCCACAGATGAATGAACTGTGTAGAAGCAAAATATATATCTTGTTAATTTTTTCCTTATAGTCTTATTTATAGGGTTGTAAACGAGTAGAGCTTGAGCGTGAACGCTCCTTAATTTGGTTTAGACGAGTTTGAACAAACTTTGGGTGGACATGCTTCGATTAGGAATGACAACCGGGCGGGGCAGGGCCAGGTTTTGCCTGCCCCGTCTCTAACTCAGAATTCAAATGCTTCGCCCTGTATCCATCCCGAACCCGAGTAGGAATAGGCCCGGGGTATACAATATAAGAGATAAAGGAAGCCTCTATTCATCTCGGTGCTCTTCGCCCTTGTCCGAGGCTTTAGCAGGAGGGTCCATACACTCGTCAGCACCGATCTCCTCGATGTCGCCGAGCAACTCATTGTCGCTTTCCGCTTCAGAGTCCGGATCTTCAGCAGATTCGGCAGCCATCTCCTCTGTAACCCTCGAAGTTGTAATGGCGCTGAGGTCGAGCTAAGGGAATTCACGTCGGGTCAGCCACCTACTAAGCTTGAAGCCCTTATGGTAGCTTTTCGTCCCCACCTCGACCAGTTCTCTCCGGAACTCCTCCGAGGCCTTGTAATCTTGGATGGCCTTGACCTTAGCCTCCTCCATAGCTTGGAGGAGTATCTCAGTTCGCTCCTTGACATGGGCCTCGAGGTTCTCCACCTCCCTCTTCAGCACCTCTTCCTCCCCCGCAAGCTCCTCCTTCTCGGACATTAGTAGCGTGATCAACTCCTTTTGAGCCCACACATCCTTCTTTAACTGGTTAACCTCGTTGCGGGCCAGATTTTGCTCGGCATGAGCCTCGCAATATGAAGATTCAGCTGCAAGAGCTCGCTTCAGATGCACCTCGGACTGGTACGTTAGAGCATGTATAGCGGAGTTCACCTGCCAAGAGAAGGACACAAGAGTTAGTACAAGAAAAGTTGAAGTACAAAATTGAAGAAGTCAAGACAGAACTTACCACCATGCAGTGGGTAGCCGCTCGTGCTCCGAGCTGAGGGATCGGCAGCTCGGCCCAGCTAGCGACCTCCTCAATGTATATTGCGCTTTGGCTCATGAGAAGGCTATACTTCGGAGTCGGTATGCTCCAAGCTGCTTCATCGCTGGCTGAAGAAGCGGCAGCTGCAGGGGCGGGCTCCGAAGA